CCAGAGGGATGGGTTGTGCAGTCTCTCGTGCCTCACTTACAAAATGCCTACTAGCACCAGTTCCCATGAGAGAGAAGCAACAAAAGGGTCGGTACAGGAGTTCTGCCAACACTCAGATACTATCTAGGGATCAGAGCAGGTCAGTTACACCAAGGCTTAGCAAGTCCGTGAGTTCCTGTAAACAAAACCTAGGCTTTGTTACGTTAATATTGACATCTACAGGTGAAAATGGGATTTGAACACAAGATTTGCAACAAGCATTAGTGTCACTGTAGTTCTTGGACACGGCACTCAAAGCAGCCATACAGCTCTTGAAGTACTCAAATTTCAAGTGCCCAAAACTTTATATATATATATATGTGGCCAGTCTTCGTGAGCGAAGATTTGGGAAAGGTCATTAACCCTTCCAGCCTGCGCAGTGGATTTTTAGGTGAGACACAGCGTGCGCTGAACTGAGCCCACCCTTTAGTCCTGAGGTTCATCTGCCGGGGCCGAGCAAAGCTTTAACAACAAAGTAATTGCACACATAAATGGCCAGAATTACCCAGGTTTCATTACTTACTGTTTTATGTACTGATGCAACACAACATCACAGTTACTGTATTTAACAAATTGGTCCCTTTACAGTTGTTTCAGTGAGATGTAGGCTAATGAAGCAACTCTCTGTCATGGACTCAAGAGGCAGAAACTTCTCTATTTGTATGTATGGCCAGTCTTCGCAAGCGAAGATTTGGGAAAGGTCATTACCCTTCCAGCCTGCGCAGTGGATTTTTTAGGTGAGACACAGTGTGCGCTGAACTGAGCCCACCCTTTAATCCTAAAGTTCATCTGCTGGGGCCGAGCGAGCTTGGACAGTGGCAGCGAGGTCCTCAGGACGTAGGTTTGTTTAGAGTGACCTTCTCTTAGATGGGTGGCCTTACAGGGCTGACGAGCTCCATCTACCCATGGGAGTTTCCCTGACCGGGAATCGAACCCAGGCCACAGCAGTGAGAGTGCTGCATCCTAACCACTAGACCACCGGGGGGCCCCTTCTCTATTGAGGTATTTAAGAAAGATTCTTGCTTGAAGGATTCATGTTGATAGAATAAAGTGAATATCAGAATATGCTCTCTAGTCAAGCAGCTTGTCCTATTACAGCTATCCTTTACAAATCACATATATGTTCCCAAAGCTGTGTCTTCTGGAACTTTTGAGGAAATTTATTGGCCTTAAAAGCCGATGTTCTTAGACATTGATAGACCCCGAAGAGAGGCAAAATCCAGAACAAAAGACTCTTTCAATTAAATGCTTAAAATGTTCCAGTAACAAACTCCCCCACATTAAACTAGATGACAACTAACTGAGGCATTTCTGATGCACTAAGCTGCTTTGGTGCTACACGAGCAGAAATCATCTCTAAAATGTACAAGATCCAGCCTACAAAGGAGACTTTGTGCAGTGTCTCTCTGAAACAATTTTTATAGCAATTACTTGGAAATTAAGTTCTACTGCATTTGCCATCAGCTTCAGTGGAACCAGGCTTTCATCCATTTCGTATCAGCTTTAGGGCTGGTTTTTTTTCTGTTTTCCCATTTCTAGCATGATCCAGTTCAGATAGTAGCTGCAATCTGTCATCTGGTGGTGGATACTGAATGTATGTTGGGGGGAGGGGGGAATTAAAAAAAAACCCAATCTGCCAAGTCTTGCAGCCTTCAACCTTTCGTGCAGTAGAAGGTTTACAAGATGATTTAAAATCTGCATGTGTAGAAAATAAGGAAGATGGGCTGACTCTACACATAAAATAGGTTTGGGACAGACTGAGATTGATGGCTTTGTGACAATGACACTAAAGTTAATAGCTGATACAGGCAGACAACAGAGTCTATTTTAAATTTAAAATTGAACTGTGTGTCACTGACAGCATCATACTGACCATTCATTGCTAGACCTAATTTCTCTCTGGTAATGACTACAAGAAGCAGAATAGATAATGATGTGCACTGCAGAACATTTGGGAAATGGGATTAACTGATTTGCTTTTTTTTTTCCTTGTTTTTAAAACAACTATTTAATGATTAGTAGAGGTGGCTATCCTTGAACACTCCTGAAGGGTAAAGATTAGTCACTCCTCTGGGAACATCTCTGTCGCCTCTATTTCCTTTCCTCTTAGGAGACAGAAGGGGTGTAAATTGTGCTTGCAACAGACTGGGAAGGCTGACACTGTTAAAATATAAGACCTTGACAAAACCCCTGGAGATGATGTATCACCAGTCTCCTGGGCAGTTGCACTCCACATTCACATTTGCACACTGCAGATAATTCCTGTCTCTCAACAGCCTGAACCCAAACTTCAAATGCAAATTGTCTTGGAGCTGGAAATGGAAACTTGCATGCACTGAAAGGAGAGAGTTATTCACATATTTAAATAAAAAGCTGACAAAAAAATATGTGAAACGAGGAAAAAACAAATCCTTCAGTCCTGGGGGAAGCATTTCTTTGTTGTCTATTTCTGTCATTATTCCCTCCTGTTTATCTACCCTTTTCTTCAGAGACAGAGATGATCATTGGTTTTGTACATCTCCACCCACACAAATAGAGATCTTTATTGGCATACCACTGTAGGGCTGATCACCAGAGACTTAACTTTATTATGTGTCAGTGAAAGGCCTTTAAAAAAGTGCACAAACTATAATACAAGGGGCTTCTGAAATTTTACATGCATGGCACATGGAAGCAATCGACTTCAGGAATAAATATTTGTGCCTCAAACCTGAATGCAGCCAGCACACATGCGTGAGGGTGAATGTTGCTGGCCTCACGCTAGGAATTTGAGCTCTGTCCTTGAAACCACTTTTTTTTTGGTAGGTGCTGTGTTAATGTGTAGCAAAATGGTAGTAGTGCATTCCATAATCTGCTCGGTAACTGTATTTCAGAGCATCAGCGGGTTGAAATTTCTACCTGCTTTCCTTACTCCTGTCTGTGACATGAGTTTGCAGACCTGAAGGATTTACTGTTTCTCTGCTTTTTCTGTTTGGCAGGAAAACTAGCTGAATTGTTCGAGTCAAGTTCAAAAGCTCAAATCTGAAAGCTGCATACTCTTTGGTTGAATTAATTGCAATTCCACTCTGGCCTTGTAAAGCTAATTTAAATTATAGTGGTCTCTGCAACTTCATGGTGTAAAATAAATAAATCTAATTGTATTTGGCTTAACTACTGAATCTGCTTATTACTTTCCAAATGGTACGGTGGGACTTGTAGTTTTTATAAACTAAGCTACCAAATGATTATGATGAGAAATCAGGACTGTGGAAGTAGTAATTACATATATATAACCCCATTTTCTACCCTATGAGAAAGTGCAGTGCCTATGTTCTATTTCCTCCTTTTCTTCTGTCTTCTGTGAGTGCTGGAGGGCATTTTAGATGGGGTTGCTCAGACTATCCAAGACCTTTAAAAAAATCTTCTCATTTCCTAGAAAGTAATTGAAAACTCCCACACCAAACAAAAATATATGTAACATACGTAAATGCTATAAAAGTAATATGTGGTTTACATAACGATTTATAATGCTACTTCATCCCTGAGGCAAAATATGATCATATATTTTATGCTCTTAGATCACCCCTGTGTGTCTGTGCTGGAACAAACATGCTCCCTTGGTGCAGACTGTGACATCAGCTCACACAGCAAGGCATGCAATCACTACGGCTGGTTTTGTTATCAGCTGGGGAAGGGTGGATAAACAGGATCATGTTTCCCATTAGTAAAAGGCTTCCTAAGTTCCACAAAGTCAACAGACAGTAATCAGGTATCAGCTACTTCACTAGGAAATGAATCAAAATCAGGAGTGGGAGGCTTGGGATGTGGGGTGGGGAAGTAGGGAGGGAGAAACAAGGTACTGCTTCATTTCTTTGTCTGCTCTGATTCCTCTAATAGAATTTCCATGAAGGCATGTTAACCAGAAGAGGAATTTCTGCAGCAAATCATCACAAAGAAGCCATGAAAGCCTGTTTAATACTTGCAGGTGGCATCTAGTCCAGGTGCTCACAGGAGCTCATCATCTGACAGTCATCCAATAAATAGATGCTCTACAACTGTACAATCTAAAGGTGGAAAAACCAGTCAGGTCAGTTCAATCCACCTCTTGCTCTGCCAGTGCAAGACAAGATATTCTTTTTTTTTCCTTTTCCCAATGCATTTGTTTAGCCTTTTTGTGCTGTTTAGTTTTAAAATTTCCAAGTAACCCAAGAGGCATCTTCTAAACTACTACGGAAATTAGTATTTCATATCTTGGCATTAAGAGGTTTCCCTTACCCATCCCTCTTCATTGCTGCTTGGTGAAATAAGTTCCTGCTTACCTTCTTTCACTGTTTTGTACTACAGCCACTCCAAATCACTCTAATTACCTCCCCTTTGCATCTACCCAAGAATTTCTACATTCGAGCCTTGTCTTCACTTTCACGAGTTATTCTAATGATTATGCATATGGTAGCACATCAGTATTCTTCTTTTCTGCTGTGTTAGTAACATGCTGACCCAAAAACGAACGCAGTATTTCATGCAGAATTAATGTATCAGAACTACTGGTCTCAGAGCGAGAGCTCTCACACTCACACTCCCTACTATGCAATATTTGGACATGCACCCCAAAACTGCAAAGGCTTTTTTTGTCTCACAGCATCCAAATTTATTTCTTTAATGCAGGTTTAAAATGTGTTTTCCCAAATTCCCTTTCATCGCCTCTATTTTATGGCAAGTGTGTACTCACCTAAGTTTTGATGGTTGCTGTTATATTTCTTTGTATTTTCCCCTTACTGTTTGAAAGTCTTTCTACTCTAACAATGTATTTCAGTGATGGACTGTCTTCATGATCTTCCTCCACCCTCCCCAGGACTGTAAATACCACTAAAGCTTCTACATGGTTGTAAAAAAAAGCTGCATTGCTATCCATTGCTACTCAGACAACTTTAAAATCACCAATCTTTCTTCCTATTTACACAAATCTGAATTTATTTCTCAAGCAAGATTTCACAATAAGCACACACAGGCCTAGGAAAAAATTTTAGCACAGATGTGTATGTAACTCATTCCTTTCAGCCACTCAGTTTCATCTCCATTCTAGAACACTGCTCTATAGCTTTGCAGCGAGGGCAGTCAGCTGAGAGTACAAGGGGCCAAATGGGGCCTCAGCACATCAGGTCTCTTATAGGATCTGTGCAGAAAAATCACAGTTTATACAACCTCAGCAGTGATTGTCAGATATCATCAGCTGCTGGGAACATGTGCAGAAGCAGAACTCTAAGCAATTAGATGGTTTGTAAGTTGAACATGAAGGCAGACAATGAGCTGTGATGCTCCCAGGGTAAAGGGGACATATGAAAATGCGCCTCTGCTTATTTACCTCAAATATGTTGATGGTCCTCACTGGGCCTAGTCTGGTGAGAAGTGCTGGAAAACATGGATTCAGCTTCTGACTACATTCAATCAATACAAACACTCTTCCAGCCTGTTAGTAGTGTTATTTGTTCTGTAGTAACAGGTGCCAGAATGTGTCCCTTATGCAATATGAGTAAGAAAAATCCTTTAAATTTAGGCAGAAGTTAGATTTAACAAGACAAAAGTTTTACTATATTGTATTAATTTGCATTTAATTTACTCATTACATTTTCTTAAATAAAAACTGACATTGGTACATAATTTTTGTCACTTTCATTAATATCCTGCAATACATATCAGCCAGATTGTTATTTTTACATATAGAATAACCTTCCAACTCAGAAAAAAACCCTTCTCTTTTAAAGGCCTGATGCTCAGCCATATCAGCCTTCGCTGCTATTAAATAAGGAAAATGAGAAAACTACTTACTTCCTTCCCCAAATATTTTTTCTGCACTGATGTATTTGTAAATTCCTTTATAATCCCCCATTTCCTTTGTTAGCCTGAAGCAATTAAACTAATCCATCCTCTGTGAACCTCAGTTGACTCACAGTATCCTTGGGTGTCTTCAAATATTTTTTTTTGACACTTTTTCTTAAATTCAGGTCTTCAAATCTACATGTGGAGCTTACTGTTTTCCACAGCAGTTGTCAGTCATTCTTCAGCTGTAGTCTTTCTGGCTTTTGCAGCCACCTCGAACACCAACGAAATCTTGGCTCCTATGAGATCAGAATTAGAATCATAGAATCATAGAATCGATTGGGTTGGAAAAGACCTCCGAGATCATCGAGTCCAACCCTTGGTCCAAATCCAGTCCATTTACTAGATCATGGCACTCAGGGCCACGTCCAATCTGCGTTTAAAAATCTCCGGGGATGGTGAATCCACCACCTCTCTGGGCAGCCCATTCCAATGCCTGATTACTCTCTCTGTAAAGAATTTTCTCCTGATATCCAACTTAAATTTCCCCTGGCGGAGCTTAAGCCCGTGCCCCCTTGTCCTATTGCTGAGTGCCTGAGAGAAGAGACCAACCCCCACCTGGCTAGCTCAGGTAGCCGGTGATGAGGTCACCTCTGAGCCTCCTCTTCTCCAGGCTAAACAACCCCAGCTCCCTCAGCCTCTCCCCATAGGACTTAAGTCCCTTCACCAACCCGCTCCAGCACCTCAAATCCTTTCTGAACTGAGGGGCCCAGAACTGAACACAATACTCAAGGTGTGGCCTACAGAGTACAGGGGAAGGATCACTTCCCTGCTCCTGCTGGCCACGCTATTTTTGATACAGGACAAGATCCCATTGGCCTTCTTGGCCACCTGGGCACACTGTTGGCTCATGTTGAGCTTCCTGTCAATTAGTACCCCCAGGTCCCTTTCTGCCTGGCTGCTTTCCAGCCACTCTGTGCCCAACCTGTAGCGCTGCTTGTGGCCAAAGTACTTGGCTTTATGAACTTCATCCCATTGGAATCAGCCCATCTCTCAAGTCTATCCAGATCCCTCTGCAGAGCCCTCCTGCCTTCCAGCAGGTCGAAGCAAATTTGCTGATGATGGACTCAATCCCCTCATCTAAATCATCAATAAAGATATTAAACAGGACTGGACCCAACACAGACCCCTGGGGAACACCACTGGTGACCGGCCGCCAGCTGGATGCAGCTCCATTCACCAGCACTCTCTGGGCCCGACCCTCCAGCCAGCTCCTAATCCAGGAGAGGATACACTTGTCCAAGCCATGGGCTACCAGCTTTTCCAGGAGTATATTATGGGAGACAGTGTCAAAGGCCTTGCTGAAGTCTAGATAGACCACATCCACAGCCTTCCCCTCACACCAGGTGGGTCACCTGATCGTAAAAAGAGATCAGGTTGGTCAGACAGGACCTGCCCCTCCTAAACCCATGCTGGCTGGGTCTCTTGTCCATCCTGAAGGTGCTGTGTGATTACTCAGGATGATCTGCTCCATAACCCTGCCAGGCACCGAGGTCAGGCTGACAGGCCTGTAGTTGCCAGGGTCCTGCTTGCAGCCTTTTTTGTGGATTGGGGTGACAGTCTGGGACCTTCCCAGAGAGCCAGGACTGCTGGAAGATGATGGAGAGCGGTTTGGCAAGCTCTTCTGCCAGCTCCCTCATCACCCTGGGATGGAGTCCCATAGACTTGTTAGGATCCAGCTGGCTCAGTAAGGCTAACTACATCCTCCTTTACAGGAGGGCTATTCAGTCTCTGTCTATCTGCTCTAGAGGCCAACTGAGGGCCACCTGTCTTACTGCTAAAAACTGAGGCAAAGTAGGTGTTAAGTACCTCAGCCTTCTCCTTATCTTTGTTAACTATATTTCCCTCCAAGTCCAACAGAGAATTGAGGTTTTCCTTGCCCCTTCTTTTGCTATTAATGTATTTAATTCTTGTCCTTCTTCCTCTAAATCCATTCTCTACAGTGATTAATTTAGGTAGCATTTGTGCACAAGTTCCAGTTTCTCCCTCAGTAAGAAATATTAATCAGAGCAGGGGTTTTCTCTATGGTACAACAAGAACGGTCATGGTTTATTAGAGCACTCTGGGTATTGCCTTGCTGCCTCTATGGAAGACAAGAGGAAAGGTAAACTCCTTGCATCTTTCCTGAACAAGGCATAAATCTGCTCTGCACTTTTGTCTTTTTATGTGAGAAAAACCTGCCTAGCAGGCATCTTCTGCTGTTGTGTTGTGACACTGAGCCGCACATTCAATATCTGCTATTTTGTCTACAAAGGTGTTAGATGAATGGTTGCATTTTCGGAGTGTGTGTTAACTTGGAGTGCTCCCACAAATATGCTATAAAGTATTCCACATCATAGCTCCACTCTCCCAAGTCCTATTTGGGCAAAACAGAATCCTAAGAACCCCAAGCCCCTCAAATGTTTTTATACTCCAAAAATATAATGACCCTATGTTCTGGTGTTTGCTTCTGGGATTGTCTGTATGTTTATCCAGCTTCTGCCTTATTGAAAATACAAATATAGCCATAGAATCATAGAAACATTTAAGTTGGAGAAGACCTTTAAGATCATTGAGTCCAACCACTAATAAGCAGCTATACTTATTACCAGTCACATGAAGATGACCCTCAAAGTGAACGGGGTGTGCTTCCAGAGAGCTCTGTGTGTGCAGGAGGGACAGCAAGTCCCAACACTGCTGCAGGCAGCAACTTCGAGAGCCACCAGGTTGCTGAGGAAAGTAGGGGAACGCCAGAAGCATGAAGACAATTTCAATGATATATAATGATACAACAATCAACTATACATACATAAACCAAACACTGAAACATCTGTGTTGGTATTGCTTTACTGGTATTCGTAAATACTTCATCTGGTGCCATTTCATTAACCAGCAGTTAAAGTTCAGTCAGCATTAACCAAAATATTAAATTTCAGCACATGTTGATGCCCAGTAATTCCTTCAAGTGTTTCACAGCTCAGGAATTGCCACTTTTCTTAAAACTGTCATCTTCTTGGCCAAATCCGATACTTATTCACAGACCTGCTAGCACATGAATTACGTTCACTACCCTTACTTTCATCTGTGTAAGTCAAAGTGTATGGTTTTGGTCCAATACCTCGCAAAGTTCCTGCTTTGACAGTATTTACTGTGATAATTTACAATTCTGTCAATTTCTGCACTTTGCAATTTAGCTACTGCCCATCTATTCTGGTAGCGGTTTGAAGTGTTTCTCCTCTCAGATGAAAAATTGTAGTATAGACCTTGGCTACTGCTAGCAGCTGCACAGAGACAGCTGAATATTTTATCAGCCAGACATCTACTTGCAATAACTGCACTCTTATTCACATTTTAGGTTACTTGCGTACTGTTTGTATGCAATAAAAAAGTCAACAAACTTTAAACACATTTAGGAAAAAGACATAGATATTATACAAGCGGTAGAGCCAAGTCTAGGCTTATTTCCATTTTCCATAATTGTTCCAAAAATAGAACAAAAATTTGAAGAACTGAGAATTTTACACTACCAATTAAGATGATCGTGCCATTTCAAAATCCACGTCAAATACTTCCTCTAGGCTGCATGCATACTTATACATGCACAAAACAGAAAGCTGCCACCACACCTTGCAAATAGAAAAATGCATTTGCATTTTAAACCAGAAACAAAATAAAATCTCTACTTGTAGTCATCTTCTTTTCAAAAGCTTTGCGTATGACTCTCACAGCTGTAGAAATCAACTATTATTTCTGATCAACAAGTCTGCCATAGTGGTCAATCTAAATGGGAAAAGAACAGTTCTGCTGCTAGGAATATGTGGAGTAAGATACCCTCTTCCTTCTGCAGTGTGGGAGAAAAGAGAGAGACCTTATTTGTAAGGTGTTTTGACATCCACTCACATCTAGGTATTGTCATAGTTACAGATCACTTTCAACACCGTATAAACTAATCAAAATTAACATTTTCTAACACTTTATTTGCAATTATAAGACAGGACATCCATTCATCTGTTAATATTTACAGCCTTCAAAAGGAGAAACAAAAGACAACTATATTGTACTGAATTTTAGGGAAAAGGTACATATTGTTAACCAGCTGTGAGCACATCTATTACCAGTGACTTTTACCTCAAGGAGTAGACAAATGGGTTGAAATAATTAAAAAACAAAATTAAAAGGACTGACAGAACAATAAAACACGTGTGAGGGTGATGAGGCACTGGAACAGGTTGCCCCCAGAAGCTGTGGATGTCCCATCCCTGGAAGTGTTCAAGGCCAGGCTGGATGAAGATCTGAGCAACCTGGTCTAGTGGAAGGTTCACTGCCCATGGCAGGGGGTTGGAATGAGATGATCTTTAAGGTCCCTTCCAACCCAAACCATTCTATGATTCTGTGAAAAGCAGTATAACATTTTAAACCCATGAATCTCAAATCAGTAAGCATTCAGTATCAAGCCCCAAGACTGTAAAAAGGATATCTTTCAAGAGGATACCATTTAATTGGATGCTTCAGAAGGTTCTGAACAGATCTTTTACACAAAACTACTAAGGAATCTGACTGGACACAGAATGAGCATTAAAAGTAATACACAAGAAGCAAATTATGAAGATGATAAGTTTTCAACTTGACAAATATTAAGAGTAAAGTGCCCCATAGATTTGTACTGAAACTGTTGTTTTACATATTCCTTCATCTGGAAAAAGAGACAATAGTCCACTGGCAGCATCTGTGGATAACAAAAATTTTCAGGTCTATTTTCAGGGCTAACAAAAATTGTGAAGAACAGCAAGGGCAGAACAAAGAAAGATGAATGTTGATGATTAACTCAAAATAATCAACTGCCTGTATACCCCAAAGTTTCCTAGGACTGACAGTCATAGGGAAAAGATTAATGAGCAGTTTATTCAGTGCATTCTGGTAAAGAAAACCAAAGTATTCCAGCCATACATAATGCTACAGGAATACATCACTGGTCAGTCTGTCACAGCCAGCAAGGCTTCATGAGGGGGAAGTCCTGCTTGCAGAACCTGATTTACTTCTACAACAGGATAACCCACCTAATTGATCTAGGAAAGCCAGTAGATGTAATCTTTTCAGATTTCAGCAAAGGTTTTGATACTGTCTCTCACAGGATTCTTCTGGACAAAATGTCCAGCATATAGCTGAATAACCATGTTATGTGATGAGTGAGCAAATGGCTCATGGGTTGAGCACAAAGAGTTACAGTGAATGGGGTGACATCAGGATGGTGCAAGGTCACTAGTAGGGTTTGACAAGGCTCTATCCTCAGCCCAGTTCT